GAAGAAGGAGGCCTACAGGGCGTGGCTGGTCTGTGGGTCTCCGGAGGCAGCAGACAGCTACCGGATAGCCAAGCGGGGTGCAGCAGTGGCAGTTGCCGAGGCAAAATCTCGGGCGTGGGAGGAGTTTGGTGAGGCCATGGAGAAAGACTATCGATCGGCTCCAAAGAGGTTCTGGCAAACTGTCCGGCGCCTCAGGAGAGGAAGGCAGCAACTCGCTCACACTGTTTACAGTGGGGATGGGGAGCTGCTGACGTCAACTGAGGCTATAGTCGGACGGTGGAAGGAATACTTTGAGGAGCTCCTCAATCCCACCAATGCGCATTCCGAGGAGGAACCAGAGCTGGGAGGCCTGGGGATGGACTGTCCGATCTCGGGGGCAGAAGTTGCTGAGGTAGTCAAACAACTACACAGCGGCGGAGCCCCGGGGGCGGATGAGGTTCGTCCTGGGTATCTCAAGGCTATGGATGTTGTAGGGCTGTCATGGTTGACACGTCTCTACAACATTGCGTGGTCATCGGGGGCAGTTCCTAGGGAGTGGCAGACCGGGGTGGTGGTCCCCATCTTTAAGAAGGGTGACCTGAGGGTGTGTTCCAACTATAGGGGGATCACACTCCTCAGCCTCCCTGGAAAGGTCTACGCCAAGGTACTGGAGAGGAGGGTCCGATCGATATTTGAATCTCAGATAGAGGAGGAGCAATGTGGTTTTCGTCCTGGCCGTGGAACTGTGGACGAGCTCTATACCCTTGCAAGGGTGATGGAGGGGGCATGGGAGTTTGCCCAACCAATCCACATGTGCTTTGTGAATTTGGAGAAGGCTTATGACCGTGTCCCCAGGGGCACCCTGTGGGGGATGCTCCAGGAGTATGGGGTGGGTGGCTTTCTGTTAAGGGCCATTCAGTCCCTTTACCAGAGGAGCGTGAGTTTGGTCCGCATAGCCGGTAGTAAGTCGGACCTGTTCCCAGTGAGGGTTGGACTCCGCCAGGGCTGCCCTTTGTCACTGGTTCTGTTCATCACTTTTATGGACAGAATTTCTAGACGCAGCCGTGGTGTAGAGTGCGTCGAGTTTGGTGGCAGGAGAATCTCGTCTCTGCTTTTAGCGGATGATGTGGTCCTCCTAGCTTCATCCAGCTCTGACCTTCAGCTCTTGCTGGGTAGGTTCGCGGCCAAATGTGAAGCGGCTGGGATGAGGATCAGCACCTCCAAATCTGAGACCATGGTTCTCGACCGGAAAAGGGTGGCTTGCCACCTCCGGGTCGGGGGAGAGGTCCTACCTCAAGTGGAGGAGTTTAAGTATCTCGGGGTCTTGTTCACGAGTGAGGGTAGGAGGGATCGGGAGATCGACAGGCGGATTGGTTCGGCGTCTGCAGTGATGCGGACGCTGAGCCGATCTGTCGTGGGGAAGAGGGAGCTGAGCCAGAAAGCCAGGCTCTCGATTTACCGGTCGATCTACGTCCCAATCCTCACCTATGGTCATGAGCTTTGGGTAATGACCGAAAGAACGAGATCGCGGATACAAGCGGCCGAAATGAGTTTCCTCCGTAGGGTGGCCGGGCTCAGCCTTAGAGATAGGGTGAGGAGCTCGGACATTCGGGAGGGACTCGGAGTAGAACCGCTGCTCCTCCGGATCGAAAGGAGCCAGTTGAGGTGGTTTGGGCATCTGGTCAGGATGCCTCCTGGACGCCTCCCCGGGGAGGTGTTTCGGGCATGTCCTGCCGGCAGAAGGCCCCCGGGTCGACCCAGGACACGTTGGAGAGGTTACATCTCCAATCTGGTCCGGGAACGCCTTGGGGTCCTGCCAGAGGAGCTGGTGGACAAGGCCGGGGAGAGGACGGCCTGGAGCTCCCTAATTGGGATGCTGCCCCCGCGACCCGGACCCGGATAAGCGGAGGAAGACGACGACGACGACGACATTTTTTTCTTCATTCAATTAATTTTAAAAAATCACTCAAATTCTAAATTCCCAGAATAATATTAACAGCTGATTAGATTAAAATAAGTTAACAGAACACCACAAAATAAAACATTAGAAGTCGGTCCTGGAGATCAATAGCTTGTAAATCTGGAGGACTGTTGTTTTTGAAATAATCTGATAAAGAAGACACTACAACGACTATACATCCTGAGGGCTCTCAGGTAGATCAACCTGCCACAAAAACAGCTGGTGTACGGCATACATTTTAGGACATCCTCAGGTGTCAGGTATCAGGTCTCAGGTGTCAGACTTCAGACCATGGAAAAAAAGCCTCAGGTTTCAGTTCTCAGGTGTTAGTTCTCAGGTGTTAGATCTCAGTTGTCAGTTCTCAGGTGTCAGTTCTCAGGTGTTAGTTCTCAGTTGTCAGTTCTCAGGTGTCAGTTCTCAGGTGTCAGTTGTCAGGTGTTAGTTCTCAGGTGTCAGTTCTCAGGTGTCAGGTCTCAGTTCTCAGGCGCCAGGTCTCAGTTGTCAGTTCTCAGGTGTCAGGTCTCAGTTGTCAGACATCGTCTGAGTCGGGGTGCTTTCGGATAACGGCAGGGGAGTCGGGACAATTGCGGTGTGTGTGCCACATCCCAGCTTCCCCGACACCCCCGCCGTTGTCCGAAAGCGCCGGAGCCAAGCCAACCAAACTCTGTGCGCCCGTAGCTCGCTGCCCTCACCCCCCCCCACCCCCCCACCCCCCGACAACTGAGATCTGAGACCTGGCAACTGACAACTGATTCCTGACACCTGAGGATGTCTTAAAATGTATGCCGTACTGGTGTGGTTTTATCACTGCCCCAGAGAGAGTGTCCTGACCAACAGTATCCTGGTGTGGTACAGCAGCAGCTCTGCAGCTGACAGGAAGGCCCTGCAGAAGATAATCAAAACTGAAGAGAAAATAATAAACACACCTACCTGCCCTGGATGACATCTTCTCCACTTGCTGCCTGTGAAAAACCACAAACATCCTTAAGGACTCAACCCACCCTGCTAACCATCTCTTCAATACTCATACTGAGCCAGGATCCTCTGGAGGTTTCTTCCTGTTAAACGGGAGTTTTCCTCTCCACTGTCGCTAAATGCTTGCTTAGTGTGAGGATTGCTGTAAAGACACTGACACTAGTAGTGACTTGATGCAATCTTCTTGGTTCCTTATATAGGAAACTGTTTACTGATTGGCTTAATGAACTGACCTGTATTGGAATGTTCACTATGTGAAGTGCCTTGAGACGACTCTTGTTGTCATTTGGTGCTATATAAATAAACTTGAATTGAATGGAATTCAAACTTCTTCTGTCTAGTCAACAACACAGGTGCAATGAAAACATGCACCACCAGGCTGTTAAACAGCTTTTATGCTAGAGCCATCACTGAACTGAATGTTGCTGCTAGGAGATCACACTAACAGTGATTCTGCTGGACAATTATTGCTCTGCAGCACCTTTATATTTAGCTAGCTAACCCTGATACCTCAGCATGCGACTGTTTACGTTTATGTTTATTTTATATTTCACTTTATAGTTTAGACTTGTTTTATTATTGTGTCTACATTTGTACTTTAAAGGAGATTGTTGCACCTTAAACTTTGTGTGTGTGTGTGTGTGTGTGTGTGTGTGTGTGTGTGTGTGTGTGTGTGTGTGTGTGTGTGTGTGTGTGTGTGTGTGTGTGTGTGTGTGTGTGTGTGTGTGTGTGTGTGTGTGTGTGTGTGTGTGAGAGAGAGAGAGAGAGAGAGTCTATTTTAGCCTTATTTTATTTTACTACCTCCTTACATGAGCTGTCTTTAATTAGGGCAATTTTGTTGTACACCTCTGCAACGACAAGAAAGAGATCTTATGTGTGTGTGTGTGTGTGTGTACACACACACACACACACACACACACACACACACATATATATATATATATATATATATATATAAAGTAAGATATTTTATTTAGATACGATATAATTCAACATGAATAGGGGTTTTGGGGCTGTTTCAGAGTCAGAAGTAATTGGATCTTCCTGGTGTTAGAGCAGGTTGTGTTGTTTCCATCTGGGGGTTAAATGCCACCTCTCCTCCCCTGTGGAGACTGTTGCTCTGTGCTGCTGTTCAGACTGCTCAGGACAACGCCTCAGAGCCAAACAATTACACCAAGGTCATGGAGAGGAGGAATGTTCTCCGATTAGTCCGGCAGCAGCCTGCAAAGGCCACCGAGAGAACCCAAAACACTAAAGTCATCATGAGAAACTTGCATATAGTTGAACTGGAGAATGTTTAAAAAAAACCAACTATTGCAAATTGTTTTTTACAGCATGTTTTTGCGTTTAAAAGAGCATTAATCATCTTTGCAGGACTGGTTTATACATTTGAAAACCTAAATTATATTTATTCTTAAAGAAAATGACATTTTAGTTCCAGAAAGTGATCAATCAGCCTATTTAAGAGGGTTAGGAGAGTAATTTAAGAATACAGCTCCAGGTTTACCAAAGTCGAAGATTTAAAATCTGAAAAGAGGGAGTAGGAGCTTCAGACCTGTTTGCTGCAGACAGACGCGACCCAGGTTCTCGGGACTTTGCCCTCTTGTTGACACTAAACGCAGGGCTCTGTAGAGTGTTTATTGCAAACTAATTTCATGTAAGTGAATGAGGTTTTTTTTTTCAAACACATGCGTGTTTGGATATGTCGCACAGATACAAGAACTATTGTAACAAATTAGCCCCTTATGTTTTATCAAAAAATACATTCAGCCTTTAGTGGAAATATATTGTTGTTAAATAATTCTAGACTAGAAACTGTAAGACGTTAAGGTTGGTTCTATTTTGTAGTTTTTCCTCAGTTTCTACGTAATTACGCACAAATAATAATAATAATAATTATTATTATTATTATTTTTATTATAATTATTACGATTACGATTATTATTATTATTATTATTATTATTGTTGTTGTTAATAATAATAATAATAATAATAATAATAATAATAATAATAATAATAATAATAATAATAAAAACTCAGATTTTCCTCAAATGGACACATATTTCTCACCACTAAGCGCAGAGTTGCAGTCGGGACCAGGATCTATCGGTGTTGATTAGAGGAAGACTTCGGGAGCAGACAGAGGAAAGGGGTGTGACCGCTCCAAAAGTTTCTTCAGTGGGCTACCTGCAGAGGCATAAATACTGCCCCTCCTCCCGAGAGTTGGTTCAGTCCTGAGGGAGACGCACAGACTAAAACTCCAATTTTGGGGAATCTGGTTGAGGTGGATTATGAACGCTTTTGGACACCAGGCACCGAACCATCAGACCAGCCCCATTCAGCACCACAGCGCGCAGGAGCTCCTGGACATGTACTGCGACAACTACGGTGTTTACCAGCAGAACATCCACCACCACCACCCCCAGAGGCCGCCGACTCACTCCTCCAGCTACGGCCTCGGAGAGTACACCTCCCCGTCCACCAACCCCTACCTCTGGGGCATCAACTCATCGCCGTACCTTACAGGGAACAATGGCTCCTCATACATCCAGTCTGGATACGGGTCGAACCAGAGGCAGTTCCTGCCTCCTCCCTCCGGATTCGGTGGCGCAGACCTGGGCTGGCTGTCCCTGTCCAGTCAGCAGGAGCTCTTCAAGATGGTCCGACCTCCCTACTCCTACTCAGCGCTGATCGCCATGGCCATCCAGAACGCACAGGACAAGAAGCTGACCCTAAGTCAGATTTATCAGTATGTGGCTGACAACTTTCCTTTTTACAAGAAGAGCAAAGCTGGCTGGCAGAACTCAATCCGACACAACTTGTCTCTGAATGACTGTTTTAAGAAGGTGGCCCGGGACGAGGATGATCCAGGTGAGTTTGGATTCAAACAGCAAAACGTTCGATTCTTTTTATGACGCAACTTTAGAAACGTTGTTTTGTTCCCCGTCCAGGTAAAGGGAACTACTGGACTCTGGACCCCAACTGTGAGAAGATGTTCGATAACGGAAACTTCAGGCGCAAGAGGAAGAGACGCGCGGACGCGGCCGACGGCAGCGCGCTCCCGGTCAAATCAGAGGACACCGGTGCGCTCAACAAACTCTCCGACACCGGCAGCCTGCTGAGCTCATCCCCGCCAAGCCTGCACGGATCCCCGGCCTCCACAGAGCCCAAGTCGTCCCCGTCACCCTCCGCGGAGCACAGCCCCTGTTTCAGCAGCTTCGTGTCAGGCGTCAACTCGCTGCTGGCGGGCAGTGGAGGGGAGCGGGACTACGGCTCCGGACACCTCGGAGGGCTGACGCAGGGCAACAGGGAGGGCATGTCGGGACTGGGGTCCTACTCACCCACTTTAATCCCCCCTCTGAACTCTGACAACAACAGGATGAACTATTACGCATCCGTGCCAAGCATCTCCAACCATTTCAGTGTGAATAACCTCATCTACAGCCGAGAGGGAACAGAAGTTTAGCAGATATTTTTAAATGTTTCTTTATTTCTGGTTTGGGTGATGTCATTCCTTTAAAGATCCCCAGACATCAGCTTGTGCCAGTGCGTCATTCAAGTGTTTAAACTGCTCTTGTTATATATTTATTTGTAAAACAATGATCCACCCACCCAAACCTAACAATCCTGTTTGCCCTAATGTCTTCTATCTGCTCTTTGGAAGCAAAAATGAAGACATTTTTGTACAGAAATGTTCATGAAAGAAAGAGGGCATGTATGTTCAAGTGAATTGTGTTTTTTTTAATTTAAACTCAAAGTGGATGTTTGAATAAAAGTCTTAAATTTGTAACTCCATATTACCTGCTTTTGTGTCCTTTTCAGAATGAAAACTGAACGTTCACTCTGTATTATAACAGAATAGTTCTAATTTTATGCTGATTTACCAGATTTATCAGCTTTAATTCTTAGCGATGCATTGTCATGACATCCAGGGAACAACAGGCCCTTCTGACCCCTTTAATGTGGGACATTTTCAAGTTAAATTGGCCATTTGAACTATTTAGGAGACCCTGCTGTGCCTTTTAAGTCAGATTTTTAGATACAAAATGACTTAAATGAAGCCTTAACTAACTTTTTAAGATTTAATTCTTTTTTTTTTTTGCCTAAGTTCTACTCGCCATAGACTAAATAATGCAGTTTTTGAGGATTTTGAAGACGGGTGGCTGGAAGCAGTAAAATGTGTAAGACAGACATTTTCCGCTTGTCACTTCCAATAAGCAGCATTAACATTTAACTTGTTTCCAGGTTCAGAAGTTCAGATTTGTTTCCGAGCTGACTCAGACTGCCCCTGCAAGTCTGCTCTCAGCTCTCTTTGGTTCATTTTATTTTTGTGTTTATGCTGGAGGTAACTGAGTTCTCTAGGGTGTGCTTAGGAACTGAGGGGCACACACATTTGCAGAAACTATTAAAACTGTCAATCCAAACGAAAACGTTTCAAGTAATTTAACACCCATTTATTTCCGAACACACAGAATCAGATCCTGTAAATAAAAGGAAACACCTCGTAATTGGCTGATAATTGAATTCACTCAAGCGATCTTTGGTCTGAAATAAAAGAAAAAATTAATTGACAAGACTTTCGTGCTCCTCGTCGAAACACAATAGAAGCTGGCAGTCAGAGCGGATCCCCTCCTGGGCTTGAATGAAAATATTGCGATCTGAAAGATCTGGGAACAAATTATGCCCCCCTGCAGGCCGCAGTTTGCTCTATTATCTGCAGAGCATGGCCACAGATGAGACAAAGGGCATTTTTGTCGTAAAGGAGCTGGTTCTCACAGTAACAAGTTTTCTGCTGAAAGCCTCATTGCGTCCAGAGAATAAAGGCCTTTTAGGTCATGTTACTACCCACTCTTGATCGTTCAGCTTTCTACTCCAAAGCTGCAAGGACAACATAATTTACTATTATTTCAAAATGTATCTGGAGTGGTTTAAGTAGAATGTTGAGTCTTTTGCTACAATCAGATTCAAGATCCAACAAGTTTATTAGTCAAGTACTTGGTTAACTGCATTACTTGGCTCTTTGTTAACCCAGAAAAGGGTTGTTTTACCTTCTTTTTTGCTGCTGTTTCAACTTCTCCTGCAGTCTTCTTTAGAGCTACGTGTACAGCAGTGAAATGTGACCCCAAGCGACTTCGCAGCCTGCAACATTCTGCACAACAGGAAGTAAAAGGCCAAAATTAAACTAATATATGTCAGGAGGAATGGTGGTACAGGAGTAGGACCCAGATGCAGAAATCCAGAAAGCAGCCAAGTAAAGTGGTAAATACAGTCTTTACTCCAAAATCAGGTGAAGAGCACAAGGAGCACAGAATATGACAATGTATAAAAAATATATACAAAAATAACAACACACACACACACACGCAAACACACACGCACGCAAACGCACACACACGCAAACACACACACACACACACACACACACACACACACACACACACACACACACACACACTAGCTGTAGAGACTTTTATTGTTCATTTGTTTAACCGCAACAAAAATGAGGCCAATAAAACTTTTTGTTTGGCAGAGTTCTACCTCACGAGTTCTGATACACCCCCCCCCCCACCACCACACACACACACACACACACACACACACACACACACACACACACACACACATACACACACATTTCCCCGATTCATCCCGCTCATTTCTCAGAATCGTAACGCTCCAGTGGCCCAGCTCTGCCTGAAGGGCACATCTACCTGGGCCCGCATGAATATCACTTGGGCCACCACGTCTCAGCACCTCTACCTGCTCCAGGGCCCCCGGCTGGCTCCGGGGTCTAAAGGCCCAGACCCAGCAGAATGCCTGAGCGTCAGGGTGGCCCCGCTCCTTAGACACACATGCCCAGTGGGCTAAACCCATAATGATGGGTTTCATCCTCAAAGAGCTACCTCTCAAAAGCTGATGTTGGCTCATAATTGAAGGTGCTGCTGTTTCAGAACTGGATTGTTTTAATCCCTCTTCCTTCGTGGGACCAGATCCACCATAAGAACCATCTCATGCCAGCTCCCGTGAGCTAACAATAGACAGTTCTTTTGTGTTCTCAAAAGAGAACCCAAATGTGCAGTTTTGAACCTTCAGGTGGAGTTTTGTGTTTCTGTTCAGCTAAAGGAAAACTTTGTGTCCGTTTTGTGATAAAACAAGTTTTAAGTTAACAAAAAATTCTTTAAGAAAAGAAATCTCATGCAGATAGTTCATGCTTGGAGTGTGTGATAGAGATACAACAGCCCAACATTTAGCTCCATATCTGTGAAGTCGACTGAGTTGCAGTCCTGTTTGTGTTGGCTAATGTTGATGCCATCTTGAATGGAGTTCATCTTAAAGGTTCTGACCTCTAATAGTCCATGAGATTTTGACTCAAATCCACCAAGGGTTTACCAGATATCTCCCCAACTCAGGTAAGACCAATAAAAACAACCAGAGAAGACACCTCTTGACCTCTAGTTCTACAGTCTGAGTTTTGCCGTCTGTACCTTCTGTAAAAGTACTTAAGATGCACATTATTGTCACTTAATCATTGCTGAAGCAGGATTTCAGATAGAAAGGTCTGATATGAAGGGCCGATGATTCGCCACAGCTCCTATAACTCTACCTTACAGTCAAATCTGAGTGTGAATATAAAAAGATAGACGAGGCATGACCTCGGCGAGAAACACGAGCGTTTTACCTGGTGGGGTGCTGATTACAGTCTGGCTCTACCCTGAAATTTCACATCTGTTTGTAGCAGTCAGTGGGCCTTATAGGGATCATTTCTTACATTACAGCTCAATCTCTTCAGGAAGTAAAACATTTAGGAGGACAATATGATGACAGCTTCTTAGGAAGCAGCTCTTCGCCTGTGAGCATGTGAGGACAGGGGGCGGCCCTCCGCGCCGCACTTAAAAAGAATCACAAGTGCAAACGATAGCTGAGGAGAATGTCTATCAATTGGCATGACCTGATTCGGTTTCATCACTCACCATGCGAGGGCCATAAAAAGCCTGACGTATGGGCCGACAGTGGCATGGGATCCGCACTCCGGACGAGCAGCCATATGGATTATTTTATACAGAACAGGAGTCGTCTGAGAGCGAACGGCTCAGCTGTTGGGAACACGTGAAAAATGTCTGGGCATCCTGTCCTGCACAACTCCTGCCAATTATTATTGTTTTTTTTATTTGGTCAGAAAAACAAAGAATTACAGTGAATAAATTTAGCAACATTACAGAAAGAAAAAAAATCTTGTTCAGCCCAGGAAGTGAAGCCACTTCAGATCTGTCAGGATTGCCGCTCAGGAGCTCGCTGAAAGACTCAAAGAGATACAAGGATTAACGGACTAGAACGAGTCCCAGTAAATCCCAAACCAGGGCCTGTCTTCACTGGAAAACCTATCCCTGAAACGGTGTAACCTATCCGCCACTCGCTCTTTTGCTGGAACATATTTTGACACAGTCTTTGTTCACACATTAGAGGACTGTGGGCAGATCATCCTTTATCTGTGACCTTTGTCATAACAAACCTCAGAAGTGGTTTTACACACTGGGGACAATGCTAGAAGAGACCAGGACAAGTTTCTAACTCACCTGAAACTAGTCTGAATAGGAATCGTGGGCAATGACCAGAATCCACATACAGTTAGAAATACAGATTTGATCAGAAATGTTGAAAACTTTCTTTAATGTTTTGCTGTGATTTTCAGTAGCAATTACATCCTGGTAGACCTTAGACATAGATTTATTTTTTTAAAAAGACTTCACTCTGTGCTTCCTCCAGCATCTCCAGAGTACGAACTGGCCACTGCATTAAAGTCTGTCTTTTTGATTAAAGGTGCAATAAGTGATCATTTTACAAAGAAATCGTCACGAAACATCAAATGTCTCAATCATGTTAGAAGGGAAATCACACAGAAACAGATTTGCTTCCCAGACAGCTGGGTGGGGGGTGGGGGGTTGTCAGTTTTCCTCCTGTTAAAAAGGCTGCAAGGGGGGCAGAGTCTTTGTTTACAATCTATCCCGCCTCAGAAACAATTATATGTGAGTCTGCAAACTTGGCACAAATGCTGTGCCGACATTTTTTATTGGACACCAGCAGACAAAGAGTAGTAACGCTGAGATGGAAACCAATGAAAGGAGCAGCTAAGAAGTTTTTTCTTGTAAACTTAAAGCCTAGTTTATACTTCTTTGTTTGCACTCACACACATGCAATAATGGAGACTGCTGATGTGGAGTTGCTGATGCTAACGGTTAGCTTCTACTAGCCAAGATGTGCTCTGCTCTCTCCTGGACACAAAATCAACAATAGCTGTCCTTGAGCTAAGATGGGTGAATCCAATAATGCTAACTTGACATGTAATTGGGCACAATGTAGCCATAGAAACACTACTTGGCATATATGTTGTGTGTGTGTGTTTGTGTGTGTCTCAGTGAGTGGTGGTGTGAGGGCTTACAGCTTGGTTTATGCTTGACACGTACATTCCACACAGTCAATCCAGTGACAAATTGTGATCGGCAGACGCTTTTCCGGTTCGAACCTCACGTTTTTTTTTTGTTTTTTTTTTTTACAGGAACAGCCCAAAACGATCTCCTAACACATGGATTTTCTGCTTCCTGATCATGTGACGTGTGACGTATACAGATGAAGATCGGCTTCAGAGCTGAGATGTTTGTTCTCTTGGCGCGGGGGCTCGTTCCGATGCCCAAACAGTAAGTGAATGAGTTAAGGGTGTGCGTGTGGGTGGGTCTGCTCTTTCTTCTCAATCCCCAGTGAGTTGTAACGTATGGCTGTTTATACTGAGCCAGGATCCT